CTGGGGGAATTCTGGGAGTTGAAGTCCACACATCTTCAAGTCGCCAAGGATGAGAAACCCTGCACAAGACATTTTTTCAGTCACAGCAACCCAGACAGAAACACTGCCTGTCCCCTCCATCTGTGCACCTGGAGAAAGCTTGATTTGAGTGCTCTACTTGCCTGTTTCTTGATATATCGGATTTGTATTTTAATTGTGGCTCTCCGCTGACTCAGAGGCCCTCCAGCAGGGTCTTGAGCTCTGAAGGAAATGCATTTTATATTCCTCCTCTCTTGCTAGTTATAGAGACAAGTCAATAAAATCTGCTTGGGAGGGAAGATCAACGCAGCCAAGAGAATGTGCTTCTTTTCCTAATGCAGTTGCGTTTTTAAAATTCAGCACGCCAATGGCAGCTGGCCCCTCTGCCTTTGCTGATAAGATTCAACAGATGTGTGGAGGATCCCTCTCAGAGCCCGGCTAAATTAAATGTTCATAAACTCGATTTGCTCTGAATATGATTTGCCAAGGAGAAGCAGATTAGGGTAGCCCTTTCCCCGTCTGGCGGTGAGGTTTCTGGAGGTGTTTTGGGGGCCACCCCACTTTGAATTAGATGTTCAATGGTCTGGTCTGGCAGGGTTCCTTCTATGTTGGACATGAAGGTCTGGAGTAAATGTTGCGACAGTTCGTAGACCAGCTGTGACTCTCCGTAGTTCAGCCTATCTGCAGTTCAGCTACCATCTTGGACTTGGAAGATCTTCTGAGTGGACCACCACAGAAATAAAGGAGTTTAATAATCTCATAACTACGTTCTCCTTGAGGCCCCTTGCAAAATACAAGGCACTTCCTTCTTTCCCCAATAGATCTCTTAATGTGGTTTTCTGCTTTGCAGATCCTCTTCTTCCTCCTCCTCCTCCTCTTCCTCGTCCACTGCCACCACGTCCCCAGCTTGCTCCTCTGGCTTCTGTTCGGCATCGACGTTGCGCAGCTCCGTAAGTGGCCTGGACAGCTATGCCTCGGTGGTGGAGTCAGTCCACGTACAGAAGGAGGCCTCTTCTTCCAGGACCCAGGATGTCAAAAGCGAACGGGCTCAGCCTGAGACCAACCACCTGTTCACCTCAAAGTTGTCCACAGGGCCGGGCCTAGAACAGACACCTTCGCCCGTAAAAGCAACGGAGCCCAAGTCTTTGCCCTCTTCTGGGTCAGGTGCAACCCACCCGTTTAGCAGAGGACAGGGGAAAATCCATCCTCCGCATCACGCACCCCTGGACCCATCGCTGCACGCAGTTTCGGCCCCTGAGCAGCTGAGTAGAGAAAAGAGTAAACCCTTTTCAGTTCAGGAACAGGAGCTCCGAGTACTCGGTAAGACCACCATGACAGCGGCCAGCTTCATAGATGTCATTATCATGCGCCAAATTTCTTGCGATAAGGGGAAGCGAGAGAGAAGCTCGTTAAATAACGACGCCAATGGCGATGGTAAGACATTGGAGGGGGCAGCGGGGCAGCTCTCCGAGTTGGTAGCCTTCCAACCCGCACCCGGAGACATTACCAAAGACCCCTCCTTCCCTGAATCATTTTTTTTCCACGTTTTAATTTTCACGTTTGTGGTGATGGCCCATTTATGTTTTCAGCGTCATCTGCATAAAAGCTCCTGTTCCCCCCATCTTCATGCTTCTTCCTTTTTTCCTTTTTTGGCTTACATTTTTAACATTTACTTTTTTTTTCTCAGTCACAATACATTTGATTTCCTTCTGAGCATGTAGTTCTGATGCAAAAGTGTGAGTGCTATGGAGTATAGGTAGTCCTCGACTTACAACCACAATTGGGACCAAAAAATTTGTCGTTAAACAGTACAGTCTTTAGGCAAGTTATCACATGACCGCACCCGATTTTATGACATTTTTGTGGCGGTTGTTAAGCGAATCACTGTGGTCATTAAGTGAATCATGTCATTAAGCGAATTGCATGCTCATTAAGTGAATCACGCTGTTTTCCATTAATTTTGCATGTTGGAAGCTGGTTGGGAAGGTCACAAATGGTGATCACATGACCCCGGGAAACTGCAACCATCATAAATACATGCCATTTGCCAAGCAGTTGAATTTTGATCATGTGACCATGGGGACACTATGATGGTCATGAGTGCGAGGGCAAGTCATGTCACTATTTTCAGCGCCGTTGTAACTTCAAACTGTCACTAAACGAATGGCTGTAAGTCGAAGACTACCTGTAGACATGGAAACAGGCCTTCTGCAGGGGAGGGGCATCAAAAAAGCGAAGGTGGGGTCACAGTTGCACCATCGAAGCCCCCCACTTGGCCATGCATGTGTTATCAAGGCACGTACAAAGGTGTGCGGGGTTCTGTTGCATGGTCGCAACTGCCATCTTCACTTTTTTAACACCCCCCCCCCCACCCGCACCTCCATGGACATCTGCAAAATGTAGAGGAACAAGTAAGGTCACGAACTATGGCACTGTGCTTGCGTCCAATTCCAGGTGGGCTGTATTTCCCACCTGAAACAACCATTTATGTTACCGTTTGACCACAAATTGCATATATTTACTAAAGTTGACCGAGATGCGTGGATTGCAACATGAGTGATGTATCTGGTGTTGAGTGACAACAATGTTGGGAGAGAGAATGAGGTTACTACATTGTTCCTCGGTCGCCCCTTCCCCAATCGCTGGTTCCCCAGATAGGTTGGGACTGCAACTCCCAAGATCATCAACCAGGTTGGGGAAGTCATTCTAGAACTAGAACCATGGGTTTTGTTGTTGTTGTTTGAATGGAAGTGACACTTGGAGGAATCCCCAAACTCTCAGCAACATGCAGCCATGATCAGGGTGGCTCTGCCAATGGGTGTGTTTTAACCATGACGTTGCTTGTCCAGAACCGAAGCTGTTTTGATTATATTACTGAAGCTTTGCTGTTGGATGGCTTGGGGTGGGTGACTGTACCATTTTACACCACACTGTGTTCCAAAAGCCATATCAGAAGCCGTTGCGTGCCTCTCGAAGGCATCCTCCATCAAGGGCCCCTGGGGCAGTCCAGCCCGGACTGAACTCGGATGGGAAAGACAACGTTCTCAGTCGTCTTCTCTGCGTAGGGATACAAGTGCTGAGATCTCAGAATGCCACCCTTTTCCAGGCATAAAAAGTGGCCTTTGAGGATGACTCTCATCCTTTCGGTTCTCCCAGCAGCTGTCGCAGTGCTTAGAAAGAAAGTCTACCCCCCACACTTAAGACACTCTTTTGTGTTCCTCAGTTTTCCGTGGAAGCTACAGTCCTGATGGCATTGAAGCCATAAGCCCCGTGAACTCCCCCTCTGTCCTCCATGAGAAAGGGGTGAAGCTTACTCAAGAAAAGGAGAAAGGTCAGGTTCTCCTCCTTCCACCACAGGAACCCTTCCCCGTTTGGTGATGGCATCTTCCATCACACCCATTCACTTTTCTCATGCAGGTTCCCTCAAACCTTCTGCAACAGAAATCTCACACATTCAGCAGCTCCACCAGATCAGCGAAGGTCGTCAGTCCCCGAGCCAGCCGTTGCAAGGACCCCCAAACACCAAAGGCCATCAGCGCGTTGTCACCTTGGCTCAGCACATCAATGTAAGTTCTCTTTCCCTCAAACAGGAATCATCTCAGGCTGGTTTCTCTTACTGAGCATTTAATCCTTGAAAAGGAGAAACTCTGCAAACTTCACCGCTGTATGTCTCAACCCTCCAGATCAGCCCAGGGGACTTTGAATGAGAATCATGGCTAATTTGTCATCTTTGGATGAGTGTTGAAATTGCCGGTTGATGAATTAATTGTAATTAATTCATTGCCCCTTTGTAAAACTCTACATTTGGGTACTGCTTGGGTGGGGAAGTCTGTTTCTCTCCTTTCTGGACCTGGAGCATGGAAAACGTTCTCTACTGTTTTTTCCTT